TTWTATATATATGTAAAGTATATATCATATATATGATTCATATATTTTAACAACACTATATCTACTAAAGTGATGTATGTTCATTATAGAAAAAAATGAATAAAATAGAAGCACAGAGAAATCAACCCYCTCTTTATAGGGGTGCTGGGGATTGAACCCAGGGCTTTGTACATGTGAGGCAAGCACACTACCAACTGAGCTGTATCCCCAGCATCTTTTTTATTTTTTGAGACAGTCTTACTAAGTTTCTTAGTATCTTGCTAAATTGCTGAGGCTAGCCTTGAACCTGTGATTCTGCTGCCTTAGTCTCCTAAATCGCTGGAATTATAGGCATGTGCCACCGTGCCTGGCCCTCATAATAGTTTGATGTGCATTGTTTCTTTTATTTCTCTTTTGTGCATTTAAGATATTCTTACTTCTCATCTGACTCCTTGTAGTGGTCTCCTAACCATCTCCCTGCTTAAATACTTGTACTCCATCTATCTATACTGAACAGAGTAGCTGGGGGCACATTTTAAAAACCAAAGTCAAAACAAGTCACTTCTCCATTCAAAAACCAGCCAGACTTTTACAACAGCCTCCTGATCAGGCAAGTGCTACCTGATCTGCCCAGGCTTCACCATTCTCTCTCTCTCCCCCTTGTCCTCCTACTCTCCCCTTATTCATTGTTTTGTTTGTGTTGTAAGCCAAGTGCCCAGAACAGAGATTAAAAAAAAAAAAAAAAAGGAATGAAGGAAAAAGAAAAAGAACAGAGATTTTAATGCAGGTATAAATATGTTGGGTTGCTTTGGTTTGTGGGGTYCTGGGGATTGATCCCTATGGTGCTCTACCACTGAGCTACAGCCACAGCCCTTTCTACTTTTTATATTGAGACAGGTTCTTGCTATGTTGCCCAGGCTGCCTCGAACTTGTGATCCTCCTACCTCAGCCTCAAGAGTAGTTRAGATTATAGGCCTGCAYCACCACAACCAACTATAAATRTTATTTTTACAGAGCAGGATTTATATCATATTGTCAGTAAATCTGATCTTTCTCCATTTAACATTTTTCTCTTATCATTCCTTATTGTGTTGTATGATGTTTAATAATGGCCTAATATTTCATCATATAAACATACTAAATTGTTCAGCCAATTCCAAACGTGTGTAAATTGTTTCTACCTTTGGACTACTATAAAAATACAATAATGATCATATTTAAAGATTCATCTTCTCATACAGCCTTAATTATTATTTCCTTAGGTAGATATGGAATTGCTGAGTCAAAGGGTATTCAGTGCCCATGTTTTCATTGACTTGAATTCACTAAGTGATCACGCAATGATGGCATGAGAGTGGCCATTCCATCACTTCCTTGCTAACACTGAGCTGGGTTTTGTTTCTATTTTTGTATTTTTAGATTTCTTTTTTTTTTTAAAGARCAGTTTCACTTTTTCAGAAAACTTAGGAAGACAGTGAACCAACATTGATAAGTTATTATTTGCTAAAGCCCAGAGTTGATTAAGATTTTTTTAGTTTGTACCTAATGGTCCTTTTTATTGTCCAGGATCCCATTCAGTTGTCATGTGTCCTTCAGCCACTCTTGGCTATGATAGTTCYCAGATTTTCCTTGTTTTTGATGATCTTGGCAGTGTCGAGGAATACTGGTCAAGTATTTTGTAGGATGCTCCTCTCTTRGGATCTTTCTGTTTTTCTTATGATTGGTTTGGGATCATGAATTTGGGGAGGAGCCATCTTCACATTATATTCAGGATACCTATTGTGGACATGACGTATGTCCTATGATGTGGACCTTAACCACGTGGCTGGAGTAGCATTTGTCAGGTTTCTCTACTGGGAAGTTACTCTTTCCCTTTTCCATTCTGTACTTCAGGATGAATGTCACTACATRCAAGGAATTGAGAGCTATGATCTACCTCCTTGAGAACTGGGTGGAATTCTACATGGGAGATTTATTTCTCCTCTCTTATTTATTAACTTATTGAACCATTTATTTATATCAGTATGGACTCATAGGTATTTTATTGTTTGGGTTATAATTTGATATTACTTTACTTCGTTTTTCAGATGTTTGCAGATTTGTCCTTTGAAGAATCTTTCAGGTAGCTCTCATRTCACTTTGGCACATCCACACCAAACTGGGTTTTGTGTTGTTGTTTTTGGATGTTTTTGTTTCTATCTTCACATTTTAGCCTATATGATAAGTTAAAGACGTTATCACACTTGAATTTTTTTACTTATGCAAGTGAGTTTTCATAGTCATTTCTATTTCTTTTGTGCTTTCCCTAAATTGCCTACTTTTTTTGAAATATTTACATATACATCTCACCAGTTATTTTCATTTGCTTTATAATGTCTTTGAAGATTTATTTACTTGTTTGTTTATTTTTGTGGTGCTGAGGATCGAACCCACAGTCTCATGTATGCTAGGCAAGTGCTCTACCACTGACTACATCCCTAGCCCTGAAGTTTTGAACTTAAAAAGATTTTTATGATGTTCAGTATTTTCCAAAGTGTTTTGCTTAGAGCCTGTTTCTGTAAAATTCTACCCTACTCTCCCCCAAGAAAAGTTTTTTTTTGGTCAAATATGTTTAGAAAATGCTTCTTGATTATTCTTAGAAGGTCACAGTATACACTGACATTTTTAAAATACTGAAAGAATYTATAATAAAGAATYGAATTTGGTTTTGTTCTAGGGCTACCCATATTGATTTGTCCATAACTGTTTCAATGAAACATCTATTAAGGTGTCTCAGAACTGGGGATCCCTAGAACATACTTGGATATATGGGGCACCAGGGACACTTCCTATCTTCTCTCATGGATTCTGATTTGAGTGTTAGACACAGACTTTCCAGCCTAAGAGTTACAAAAAATACACTTATCTTTTCTTCTAGTTCTTGTATGTTTCTTTTTCATTTATCTCCTTAATACACCATGATTATATATTTTAGTGATACTTGGATCTTTAACTGTTCTGRACTTTTCAAAACCAAGTTTCTTTGATCTGTCTTTCCTTATATTGTGCTGGGTTTTTTTTTTGTTGTTTTTGGTTTTGGTGCTGGGGATTGAACCCAGGGCTTGTGAGGGAAGCATTCTACCAACTAAGCTATATCCCCAGCCCTGTGCTGCATAATTTTAATTATTGTAGTTTAGAATACACAGTTGGACCTCTGTATTAGTAGGTTCTGTATCTGTTAAAACAACTGCAGATTGAAAATAATCTGGGAAAAATTATGTCTGTACTGAACATGTATTGACTTTTTTTTTTCTTGTCATTATTCTCTAAATGATACAATGTAACAACTACTTACATAACATTTACATTGCATTAGGTATTAATTTATATTCAAATACTGCCCCCTGTTATATAAAACACCTGAGGATTCATAGATTTTGGTGTCTAAGGGGGTCTAATTCTCTGAGAATTCACTATATCTAGAATAMATCAAAACTTGAAATTAGACAATCACTGACATGTTTGCACAATTAGAATTTYYTTCTTCTTCTTTTTTTAGTTGTAGATGGGCACAATACCTTTATTTTATTTATCTATWTTTATGCAGTGCTAAGGATGGAACCCAGGGCCTCACATGTGCTAGGCAAGCCCTCTACCACTGAGCTTCACACTCCCAGCCACATAATTAGAATTTTTAATTCAAATACCCTGTACTTAAACAGTCCTTGGACTGGTCATTGTACAAGACCTACACAATCTCCTGGGGCACACATTCGACCTCCTGCCTGCATTCATCTCTGTCCACTGTCTCCTCCAATGCCAGGCTGACTCTGCCCCAGGGATTATTGTACTTGCAGTCTCCCCTGCCTTCCACTGTGCTAATACATAGCTCACTCCTTGCCTCCAACAGGTTTCCTGTTCAAGTGTTTCCTTCTCAGCCAGGCCTCCTATTGGAGCCCTATTTAAAACGGTAATCCAACAACAACTCTGGCGCTCTCTCTCTCTCTGTTTCATTCTTTTCTATGAATTATTGGGGATTGAACCCAGRGGTGCTCTACCACTGAGCCACCTCCCCAGCCCTTTTTATTTTGAGACAGGGTCTCACTACTTTGCTCAGCCTGGCCTCCAACTTGTATTCCTTCTGCCTCAGCTTCTTGAGGAGCTGGGATGACAGTTGTGCACCACCACGCAGGCCATTTTCCATTCTCCCTGGCACTTTTCACCCTTCAACAAATTCAGTAGTTTACTGATTTATTCGCTGTTTATCTCACCCCCATCACACTCTGTAAGAGCAGGGATATTTGTCTCTTTTGTTTTCCAATGCATTTTTTTTTTAGCTGTCAATGAACCTTCCTTTTATTTATTTATATGCAGTGCTGAGAATTGAAGCCAGTGCCTCACACATGCTAGGCAAGCGCTCTACCTCCGAGCTACAACCTCAGCCCCCAATGTATTCTTATTAGCTTAAGTAGTATGTGACACATAATAAATATCACAATTAGAAAAATTAATAGACTTTAGTAGAATGAATGAATGTCTGACTCTTTAAGTCTTGGATGTCCCTTAGTAAATMTTTACATAAATCCTGCTCTGTTTTTTAATGTTAATCATCACATTTTGTTGTTATTATGAGAGGAGCTTTTCCTACTATATTTTCTGAATAATCATTTCTAATACATATGACAATCTTAATAGGTATATATTGATTTTGTAACTGATTACCTATTGTTCYGTTACTACTTTTAATAGTTTCTTAGATGATTCTCTTTGGTTTTTTTAGGGGGACAATGATATCATATACAAAAAAATTATTTTTGACATTGTTTGTCAGTTATGGATAATGGTCATTTTTGCCTTATTTCAATCATACCAGGAAAGTCTCTGTAATTAACAGAAAAGTGTGTGTGCTATTGATTTGAAATATCCTTCATGGTAATGAGAAATTATCGTTCTATTTCTGTTTTGTTCAGAGCTTTAAAAACTAGAAATTGATGTTGAATTTACCAAATGCCTTTTTGGCATCTATCTTTACGGTATTTTTGAACATATTTTTATATTATAAATGTAATGCCTTTGTGGTGGGGAATAAAGTGAGAAGTTTAAGAGTGATCTTTGTTTCCCTGCTCCAGTTTCAACCACTAGAAATAACTAATCTCTTGTGTATTTCCCCAGACTCTTTTATGTACATACAAATCTATATATGTATAATACATCTGAGTGGTTTTTTTTTTTCTAAAAGGGATCAAAGAGTATGTATTGTTCGGTAACTTGCTTTTTTTCTTTTAAAATACTGGACATCTTTTCATATTAGTACATCTACTTCATACTGCACATGGCTGCATACAATTTCACACTATGGTGATTATTTATCCAGTCCTGCCTTGATGACTATTTGTGACCAGGTTTTTATTTATTCTATTATAAATCCCTAAGTGAGCTGCACACCTCTACTTATAAGCCTGTGCACTTGAACATGTACTTCCAATGCACTTTTCATCCTATTCCTGGTGAGTTTCTTGAAGGAGAAATAATTTTTTTATATCATTAATTCCTATGACAATCTGCAGGTGTGAATTAAATCTTGCTTCTATACAATATTTTTAAACTGTATTTCCCTTATAATCTTGTTTTAACAAGTAAAAAAATCATAAAAATCACAAACCATTAAGATAAATAATAAGTACTTAATTTTGTASTGTTTATATATTAAATTTCTAAAATTAACATTTAACCACTATTAAGCCATTATTTTTCTCCATCCAAGTAAGATAAATGAAAGAAATAAGACCTTCCAAACTTCCCACCCTAAAAGGCAATGGAATTCAATTTTCCAAAATGGGTAATTGTCTTGGATAAGTAGTATTTTTATTCTCCAGTTATTTGCATATTTTGCAAGTGTAGAAAACTCAGGATTTATCATTTTTTTGCATACTCCATACTTTGCAGAAACCAACTTCAGATTTTTTATAAGAAGGCAAGGTGGAAGAATTAGCAGCAAATTCAATAAATTACAATTGTAAAACTTTATCATTGTGACTTACATATGAAAAACTCTCTAGAAATACCTTCCCAATTGTGTTTCCCACCAGGCAGTAATTGTTCTTTTTGGTTAATAGTAGAGAAAGTCTACTTTATTTTAATGGAATAAAAGAGAGGAAAGGCTGATAAACATTTTAGTGAGCTGGTTTTAATTGGAGTAGGACAGGTTTATTTTTCTTTTAAGGCTATTTAAGTCATCATGTCTCTCTCCCTGTTGGCCCTGGTGTCTTATACAGGTTCCAAACGCTGTGAACTTCTGTATTGTGTCATCTGGCTCTATAATGTAAAAGGAGGGGGATGGAGCCCTCATCTTTTAAAGCCTCCTGCAACTGTAACTCACCTGCTAATCCCCTTGTAAACTGTAGCATAAGAACCTTCACCCAGCTTCTCCAAGTTCAAGTAGGATGAGGCGGCCCCAAAAGGGAGGCTGTTCCTCTGCTTGAAAGGAAGGGGAGGGGTGAGAGGTGGAAAAGACAGAAAGATCAATTTTTTCTTTTATTTTATTTTTAGTGTTGATTCCCCTGCTCCCCCCCCCCCCCAGGGAAACAGTATTGTTGAAGCTACCTGGGAAGGCCCACTCAGTAATTGTCCTGGAAGTTGAGGACCAGCTTCCCGGGACCAGCACACATAAAATTCTTCTAGATCAGCGTCAGCGGTTCACTCACCCACTGAAAATCCTGCCTCAGATCCTCTTCCTGAAAAGAATCGCTATTACTCCGTGGCCTTTTACTCTCAAACTTCCGGGCACCAGCCCCCTGCACTCCCCTGGGGTGAAATGAAGTCATGCAGCTTGATGCTTCTTTTAGGTCTGTTAGCTAGAGAAAAAAGAAAGTGCAGGAGTAAAATCTATGCAAAGTCAAGATTCAGCCGCTGCCAAAATCATCTTTTTTTAATTTACCCGATTCTCACCCTTAAGATGTTTTCTAAGGTTCTTCCTACACCCCCAAAAGGTACCTTTCTGAAAGTCAGATCCAAAAACAACAACAACAAAAAACGACCATAATGGTATCATCTGCGGAAATGCTGCAATCTTTCTTCACTTGAATACATTTACCTTTAATGCTTAGGTTAACCTGAATCTCCTTGATACATGTTTTTCGTTTTTTCTTTAACTCAGCCTCCTCTGCCCCACACACATCTGTGTAATTTATCACTTTAGAGGAATAGTCTTCTAGCACGACATGGCTAATAGATATGAGCTAATTACTGGAATTTTGAATCCACCACAAACCAATACTGCAGCCTGTCAGCTCTGCAATGTAGTACCTTAGAGATTTCAGGAGAAGAACCACTTTTTCCACTTCAAGTCAAGGGGAGTTTCTTGCAGCACAAAGTCAAGGATTATTTTTCCCTTTTGGTTTACAAGCACATCCCCACAATTGATAACTACAGCCATAAATTCTCTATGACTTTAATAGAATTTTCTTTTTATGGGTTTCGACCTACCGCAGAAGGAATCAGACCTCTGCTTCAGAAAGGGAGCGTCTGTCTGAACTCCTTGGTTTATCAATAGAGAAAGATGCTCCTCCTGGGATACCAATACCTGGAATTCAGCCTCCATGGTCACAGGCTGACTCCTCCGGCTGCTGTGTGTCTCGCCTCCTTTGGAAMGGTGATAGCAGCTGCACCCAGGCTGTAGACTCTTAGCACACAGCTCTTGACCCATAGTCTTTCAGGTTCAAGGAGAAAACCCACACTTGAACCTCTCCCCCTCTGCCTCTCTTGTCCTCTCTCACTCCCTTTTTGCCAGAGGTCAGCAGTGTGGAGCTTTCATATGACTCACATGAGGCTCTGCCTGGAGCAGCCTCATGACTTCAGCAGTTTCTCCATCTCAGTGCAAGTAGCTCGACATCAGAAAGGCGGCTGCTTGCATTCATATATGCACAACGAAAACAAGGCAGCTCTAGTATGAGACAGAATAAAATTGGGCACAGTTAAAGTTCTTCTTCCAGCCACAAGTTAGTGCTGTTTGTATGCATACTTTTTMTGAATTCACATTGCTTATCCATGTGATGATATTTACAAGATATCATGGATAATGACATTGATCTTTAGTAGGCTTTCCTGGCACTAAAGCAAATACACTGAGGAAGTTTTTTCTCCCTGCCTTTCATCTGAAAGCATTTTGGTTTTCCGACTTTTAAAACAAAATTGCAATACAGCCAATGTTTAGTGGTCAAAAAAACCATAGAATGAGAAGAGGAGGAAAGCTGAGGATGTCTACTTCATCTCTTTGCCTCCGAGCAACAGTGTATCTAACAGTCTTAGATGGGTAGTCATTCATTCATTTATTCCATGAGCACCAGTGTTGTTCTTATTGTACAGGTAAGGATGTAAGCCAACGGTAWAGAGACACGAATTTGCATGAAACATCTTCTTCCCTCTTTCTCTCCTTCTTTCTCCCATTCCTTCTTCCCACATAAATATAATACTTATTATATGTAAGTACTATGTTAATATTGACATGACCAGGAATCTGGAGCAAACTGTTTTATATCCTTCAGTTTTTGAACAAAACTTTTTTTATAATTTATTTTTATGTTTTTGTTTGTTTGTTTGTGAGAAATTGAACCCAGGGGCACTTCAGTGCTGAGTTACATCCCTCGTCTTTTTTATTTTTTATTTTTGAGGCAGTGTCTCACTAAGTTGCTGAGGGTCTTGCTTAGTTGCCCAGGATCCCCTCAAACTTACAATTTTCCTGTCTCAGACTCCTGAGTTGCTGGGATTACAGGTGTGTGCCACTGTGCCCAGGTGAACAGAATTTTTTTTCTGTGACAAACGCTTAAGATTCTTGCTACTATAATGTACCACTCACAGAATGATACAGAAAAGTCACAAATACACACACACACACACACACACACGCACACATGCACACATGCACACATGCCCACATGTGTGTGCGAGTCATGTCTATTGTCACAATAATATTTATGGATATTTGATATCTGAACCTCACAATACAATACTTTAAAAAAAAAACTTTCTGATAATTCATTTATGAACATGTATTTAAGCTTTATTTCAAAAAAGAATCAATTCAAAGATTCATATTTCATAAAAAGGAGACTAATTTCACTAATATACAAAAATATTTTTAAAATAGTCTTGAAAAACTATTAAACTTTTAACCAACAATCAATTAACAAAGAACAAAAAGCTAATTTTTCAGAATATTTAACTCCACTAGAATTTATCAAAATGTTTTTATWTTTTATTTTTGAGGCAGTGTCTCACTAAGTTGCTGAGGGTCTTGCTTAGYTGCCCAAAATAAAATACATTTTATTAGAAATGCCAATTTTTCCTAAAAGGAGATTATGTATTTCATCAAATAAAAGTTATATTCTAGAACAGGTRTAGGATAATTTTTTTTACCTTTCTCTAATTATCCTAAGCTTTAGAATTTTTAAATGATCAYTATTATTATTAGTCAAGGAAATTATGCATAAAGTAACAAGTATACTAGAATAGAATAGTCTGATTTATTTTGTTTGTTTATTGCCACTGCAGATTAAACCCAGGAGGTACTTTGTCTCTGAGCTGCATCCCAACCCTTTTTATTTTCATTTTTTCTGAGACATACTCTCATTAAGTTGCTGAGGCTGGCCTTGAACTTGCATTCCTGCCGCAAGCCAACCTCCTGAGACGCTGGGATTACAGGCATGCACAACTGCACTGGGCTAGCCTGATATTTTAAAGATTAAAATTGCTGTTTAGATACTAGAATGGGCTACTGAGGAGAAATTGTGAAATATTCTTCAGAATTTWWAAAAATTAAATAATTTWTGGTCTTGCTTAAAGTTAAGAAAAATATCAGATGAATTCTTAAGGTGTTTTCTAGCTTTGTGTCCAAAACAATAATTTTTGTTACCAAAGATGTCTGAATAAGGAYAGAAGACTTAGATGATAATCTCTTTTTGAATTCTGCTTCAGACCCGGTTCATGCACCACTCCAGGTCAACTTGGCTGCCCTGCTTTTTTGCAGTCTGACTAGTTTTCCAATGGGAGAAGCCATTCTTGTCTGGAGAAGAATGTCCATTATTGCCGTTACCTCTTGCTTTTGTAGAACAAGAGCCCCCACACATGAGGCTGACTGACAGGGAGAGACCCCTGGGCCTGCCCACCATCCCAAATGGACTAACAGAGACTCTGGCTTTAGCAAAGTCCCACAAGGGCCAGCTCACACWATTAGGAAATGCAGGAAGACTCCTGGAACACACTTCCACCATTATGAAATCAGCAAGAGTTGGGCAACTCAGAAACCAGCTCCATTCATTTGCTTTCTCCTTTCCCCTCACCTTTCTTGGGATTGCATATGTCACCTACTCCTCCTACCTTTTTTTTTTTTTCCAGGCTTTGTTTTCAAGGAATTATGTCAAGAAAAATGCCAGCCATTTTAAAATTAGCAGTAAAATCATATTATTGACAAATTCAGGTTAGCTTCTCCACTCATTCCATTTTTTTGAGTTTTTTTTCTTTTGCAAGTGATGTGAAATTGAACTACCATATTTAACTAGGAATATGTGTTTTTTTTTCCCTTTTGTGTATGTGTGTGTGTGTGTGTGTTCTATCTTTATTAAATTTAGCCAAAATAGTGGGAATTATGGTTTAATTATAACTTTCTAGGATATGTAGATTACCATAGATATTCAACAGATAATAACATGAGAAATATATAAAATTTGTATTAGAAACATTAAAAATAATTCATATACATCTACACAGTGGGATAATATGCAACTAAAAAAAAGGAGTGAGATCTTTATATAATGACATAGAGTGATCACCAAAATATTTTAAGTGAAAAAACAAAATGCAGAACAATGTTTATAGTGTGTTGTTACATTTTGTAGCAAAAAAAAAAAAAAAATTAGGGGAAATAAAATGTAGTTAAATATCTTACCAATAGTAGCAATATTCCCATTATTTTTATTTTGTTGTCTATTGTAAGGGAGAAGTAATTTCTTTTCTTATCTATTGCTTAACTTCATRGTTGAGATCTCTATAATGAATAGATTAACAAGAGAAAATCATACAGATTTATTTAATGTAAGTTTATGTGACATGGGAGACATACATGACACACATGAAGACTCAAAGAAACAGGGAAGCCTGTATATTTTTATTCTAAGTTTGATGAAGTAGATAGTTGGGAAGAAATATGACTGGAAGATAAAAGGGTCTGATTTGATGGTTAATAAACTGGGGAGAACTTAGCAAAACCTGTTTTTTCAGATTCCTCTTGGTATCTCTGTGTCTTTAAAGATAGGGATGTTCCCTTCCTTTGGGTAGAGAGTGGTAATCCCTAGAATTAAGTATTATAACCCATTTTAGAGAAAAGTCGGCTAGGTTTAATGGCCTGCTTTAGGRGAGAAGAGGAAGAGGAAAGTAAGAGAAAGCTTTCTGCTTCTGCTGTTTTTTCACTTATCAAGGTGCCATATTGTGGGTTAATACAGGCTGAACCCCATCACTTATATGTGTATCTAAGGCTAAAACAAATAAACAAATMTGCTAATATCATTAGAAATCTAACTCTTCAGTGTAAGAGAAAATAGACATAAATATTAAATCAAGGAAAACTTACRTGAACTTAAATTGGACTTGGAAACATATACTTATGTTTCTTATTCCTTTAACAGAAAGAAAAGCCCAGGGGGCTAGGGATGTCACTCAGTGATGCTTAGCATGTACAGGCCTTGGGTTCAATCCCAAGCACCTAAGGGGGGAGCCAAAAGCTCTGTCAATCAAAAAGACCTAGGAACAACAACACAATAGAAATGAGTAATCTTAAGTTCAATTTAGAGACCCTAATGGTCTCTAAATACCATTTTTTTTCCTCTAAAAAGAACTAAACATCCATGGAGAAATCATGGATTCTAGGTTTAGAGTACAAATTCCACAGGATAAGATGGGTATCTGACTAGCTAGAAAGCAAGAAAATTATCAAGAAAGATGTCTCAGGCTTATGTAAGCTGACAGGAGYCTTGTTAAAAGGACACAGCAACCAACCTGAAAGGGACCCCCCATTGTCTTAAGGTGGAACAAATTAAGTGTCAAACAGAACAACAACAAGGAGTGCATAAAATCGAGAACTGTAGACTAATTCTTAAAAAAAAAAAAAAGTTGTCACTTGGAGGTTTCTAGCGTACAAACATTACTCAGAATATCAATTAATTTTTTAAAAAGAAAAAAACAAGTATTTTAAAAATATTTTTGCARATTATTTTTCCAGATTTATCAAATTGCTAATGAGGGGAAAGTCCTCATAGAATTCCCAGCTAATAAATGTAGTAGAAAGAATAAAAAGAGAAAATCACTATCATGCAATCCTTAATGCAATGGTAGATCTAATCAGTCATCAGTGAATGCTGAAAGCYTGAGATAAAAGACTGATGAGGAACATTGTCATGAAATCAGCTGAGCCCACTGATCAGTCATGTGTTTAAGGTTTTTCTGAATAAAAAGAAGAACAATATTTTTTAAAACACATTCTCGAAAAATCCATACCTTTTGATTGTTTATTTATATTCCTGTCTATTTCCAAAAAAGGATGGGTAAACTGGGCATGGTGGTGCACGGCTATAATCCCAGCAACTCTGGGCTGGGGATGTGGCTCAAGCGGTAGCACGCTCGCCTGGCATGCGTGCGGCCAGGGTTCGATCCTTA